GGGAGGAGGGGGTGAGGAGGGAGAGGGGTTCGCTAAGCTCACGTTGGGTCTGGTGGGGGTGATGGGGATGACGGGCGGGGGGGGAGGCGTATAGGGTACGTGGGGCAGGTGCTTGCGGACGCTCGAGTGTACTCGACGTATGCGAGCAAGCCTGCGGTGGATCTTGCGGACGCGCGGCTTGCCATTCAGTCGCGGGCCAATGAGGCGTTCTCGCAGGTTCCTCCGCGCGACTTTCTCCTCTCACTGGCGGCCAAGAAGAACGCTGTCCCGTTGCCTGTTGTGCCGTCCGAGTATGGTGTCCGTCTTCCGCCTGCGCGGAACACGCTCACTGCTGCCAACTACCAGGCACCCGGACGGGTTGTCGGCCGCAACGCCCGCGATACGCTTGCCGCCACCGTCACCGCCGACGACGACGAGGAGGTCAAGTCCAAGTCGCGCAAGCGCAAGACCATGGACGACGATCCGTACCAGCCGCACGCTGGTGTGACCGAGGACGATGATGGTGGCGCCAAGGCCATGGACATGTAAATCGTGCTGAAGATGATGTGGCAAGCCGAGCCTGTCCCCCTCCCCTCCCCTCCTCCCCCCTCCCCAAGATACACACACACCCCGGATACAGTCCACTCAACATTATGGCTCAAGTCACCCACTCTTTCACCATCACCATCGCCCACCACCTGCCTAGTCGCCATCACCATCGGGCTACCACCACCACCACCCGCCGAGTCGCCCACCACCCGCCACTGACCAGCAGCCTCTGCCCTTGCCCCCTCTCGCCACCACCAGCCACCAGCACCACTTGACGTCACAGGGACTGGAAGCCATGGCAGACAGTGACCAGGAGTATGACAACATGTGGCGCATCTACCGCACATGCAATGAGATGCTTGGTATGTTCCCTGTGGTGGGTAGAGGGGGGGGGGGGGGGGGCCGGGGGAGAGGAAGGGGGGGGGCGGGTCATCATCTCGCCTGGAAAGTAAAGAAAGGGGGAAAGGGGGGGGGAACAACCATGGGGGGGGGGGGGGGGACAGACTCGTC